AAAAGATTTTTAGGGAGGAGTGGTTTGCTTTTAGTTCTGTAAGATGGCTGTTAACCCACAAAATCACAGCTTTAAACAAAACTCCCTTTACAAAGCAATTTATGAGGATCAAGTTGCTAAGCTCATAATGATCATATGAAAAAATACAACCCTGAAAACTGGGTCTGGAAGACAGCAAAGAATCTTCCTTTACAGCATGGACAACAATAAAAGAAACCTAAAATTGCCTATTGTCACAGCTTTAATATTAACACTAGCTGCTTTGGCAAGCTGTAAAGACTGGACTGCACTATAAAACTTAAAAATGTCCTGGACTAGGAGTTGTTTACACAAAATATGAGGAGATATAGAGTTACAGAGCTGGGGGTTGGAAGAGATGGCTTTAAAACCATCCTCCGTGCGCTGACGTCACGTGGAAGCCAGCTGCAGGATGATGCTGAACGGAACTGTTTTTCAGTTTGCAAAAGTTGAGGATTTATTCAAAAGAGAGTTGCAAATGCTGCCCCAGTTGAAAGGTTGTGTCTTGCTTAGTTTTCTTATTTCTTTTAAAGATCAAGATTTGCAGAACTGGATCCCTGCTATGTGTTTCATTGCTTTCACTGCTGCTTAGAAATGGACTGAAAAACTTCTAAAGGAGTTCTTATTCCATGAAAGGTATGTTTGCAGTGTATTTTAAATCAGTGGGTTTTAACAATTGAGATTAAAAATGAAAGCAAATTATTGATATGGCAAGCAGTAATTTAAACTTCTCTCTAGTTATTTACATATAATGTGATGCTCATGTATGTTATATGTGGGTTTTTTCTTAGAGAAAGACTTTTCATTAGTTCAGTTAGTTTCTTCAGTGCAGGCAGAGATGTATTAACAGAACAGGGATGACAGGTAGCATTGTGAGGACTTGAGCCTTTCTTTCTTTCTTTCTTCTTTCTTTCTTTCTTTCTTTCCTTCTTTCTTTCTTTCTTTCTTTCTTTCTTTCTTTCTTTCTTTCTTTCTTTCTTTCTTTCTTTCTTTCTTTCTTTCTTTCTTTCTTTCTTTCTTTCTTTCTTTCTTTCTTTCTTTCTTTCTTTCTTTCTTTCTTTCTTTCTTTCTTTCTTTCTTTCTTTCTTTCTTTCTTTCTTTCTTTCTTTCTTTCTTTCTTTCTTTCTTTCTTTCTTTCTTTCTTTCTTTCTTTCTTTCTTTCTTTCTTTCTTTCTTTCTTTCTTTCTTTCTTTCTTTCTTTCTTTCTTTCTTTCTTTCTTTCTTTCTTTCTTTCTTTCTTTCTCGTTCTTTCTTTTTCCTCCTTTCCTCCTTCTTTTCTTTCTTCCTTTCTTTCTCCCTTTCTCTTTCTCTTTCTTCCTTTTTTCTTTCCTTCTTTTCTCCCTCTTTTTCTTTCCCCTTCTATCACTCCTCTCATTTCTCCCTTTTTTCTTTTCTTTCCCTTCTCTTACTCACTCTTCTCTCTTCTCTCACTCGATTGTACTTTCTTTTTATGTACTGCTATTGTGATACATGGCACATATTCATAATTGAAAAAATACATATATTTACAATTTTCTTAGCAAAAATACAGCACTTTGTTGGAAATATAATTGCATTTTTTTCTGTAAAAACAAGGAAAACTTGTGTATCTGAATGGCTGTGCACATCCAATGTAATTAAACTGTTGAAAAATAACATCTCAGCTTATGTCAAGCAGATTATTTTCAGAAGCTGATAGAGGTTGTTTGCAAACTATTTTGCATTTTAAATATGTGTCTAGCAAGGGCATGGGTAATACATGAGGGAATAGTGACTAACATCAAATAGTTGCTTAAAATATTTTTTGCTTGAGAGGAGAAATGGTTAAAGGAAAAGTTAGGGGAAAATGCAGCTGATGTAGACAAAATTGATTATTTGCTTGAATTTGATTGCTGTAATGAGTTTCTGACCTTGTCTAGGACATGCAGAAATTGCCAGTACTGTAAGAGCACAGATACTGTACTGATCCACACAGTAAATTATAATGTGGCATTTTATATCCCTTTGGGTTGCTTAAGTCACATGAAATACCCATGGGGACATCTTGGTGCACTATACAGACAGAGGGTATACTACCATGACTGCACAGTGGATTTTATTGCTAGTAGGGGAAAAAGCAAGCAAGCCCCCACCTCCCAAAAAACCCCAACCCAAACCACACCAAACACCAAGAAAAAGAAAAGGGAGACACAGAAATAGGAGTTAAAACTCTCTGAGGAATTGATCCACTGTACAATAACAGCAAAATGGTATAGTCATCCAGCTGCTAACCTCAGTAAACATGAGTTTTCTTCTCAAAATTTATGTCAAGAGGAAATCAGAAATGCACAGGAAACAATACAAGCTTTCTGTGCATCTTAAAACTACAAGTGACTATCTTTAACTTACGTAACTAACCTCTTTCCAGACTCGATTTCTTTTTGTTGGTCTCCCATCTCTTTTTATGAGTTCTATATGAGCCAGCTTGAAAATTGTTAAGATGAATGCAGACATGGCAATAGTAATTTCCAGCACTAAGAAAAGACCAGGGGCCTTTTTAATGCTATATTCCTGCTTGAAAGAAGTGCATATTATATCTATTCCTATATGTGCAAAACCAATATGCTATATGGTATTGACCTTTCTAGTAATATGCTGCTGATTGAAACATGGTCATTATTACTAATAGTGCTGTAGGAAAATCACCTTTTGTGTAAATTGTTGACAGATTGTCTGCCCGTCTTGTTCATGACTTTACAGCATCTACACATGATTTTTTTCTGACATGTATTTGTATAAGGATTATAATGGAGCAGAGAGTTGACTTTTGTTTATTTCTCAAAGATATCTTGAAAGGTTATAAAAACATAAATGTAGCAAGAAAAAAATAAATTGCACCTTTTGAATTAGCAAAGTGAGAAAGTGTTGAAATGCTTTTAAAGTTCATTAGCAATAGATATTTAGATTGCAACAGATCTTAAGTGCAGTAGAATGTTTTGGCAAGTTGTTTTTGGTCAGCACTTACTGGAGGCTAGCAAAAACTGAAACACTGGCCTGGAGAGCTGCAGTCTCTATAGCCCAGCTGCATTGCCTAAGAGGCTGTGAGCAAACTAGTGCTTGACTTCTTTTTTGATGTGAATACTGTGCTGTCTTTCAGCAGGTCTTAGTTTCAAGTAATTTTATGTTTTGATAAAGCTGCCCTGTATGTTTTTAGGCAGGGTGAAGAAGGAGGGTTTGAAATCTGTTTGTATAGTTGAGAGAGAGATTGCCATCGCAGAGCACCAAAGTGAGTGCTCAGGGTAAACTGTTTTGCAAGTTAGGACTGGGCCCATGATGGCCTGAGAGATCCTGTAGCAGGACTTCCTATGACCCAAAGACCTGAATAACCTGTTTGGTTTCATCTGAGCTCTTCTGCTTACTTGTTCATGGAAAGAACCTGACTCCAAGTTTAGCCTCATCTTTCCGGTGAGCTGAAATAATGCAGACACTGCTAAGCAGTGATTACATGGTAGCCACAGCTGAATCAACAAGACTTGCCCAATAAAATACAGAACAGAACTTTGTGTGAAGCTCAGGAGTGAATTTTCACTCTACCATAGAAAACTTGGACAATAAGTGGGCAGTTCCTGTGAGCTGAGAATCACTGACAATCAGTCAGGGAAATGGACAAATTGCAGGAAGATAAACTGGACTTAGCACTGGTTAACACTCTGATAATTTTCTTGCGTGCCCATACACCTGGTTTCTGACAGGAGACCAAAGCAATGCAGAAGTATTTTATGAGTGGAACTAGATTCCATGTCCACCTATGTAACACAAAACTGGCTTTGATTGCTAAAGTTAACAACCTTCAGTACCAATGTGTGTGTACCATCTATTATACCACAGAAGCCGTGTTATTTCAGCCTTGCTGGCATAGTAAATGCAGGCTGATGATAGTAGGGTTTCTACTGTAAGGCCTCAGAAAGCAAGAGGAACATCAGGCCCATAAAATCTGTAAATGTTTTGCTCCAAAGTCAGATAAGCAGATCCAAAATATTTCCTTTAAAATATACACATTTAGTGGTTCAATTAATAACTTTTTCATTTGCAGACACTAAGAAGCTACAGACTTCTGAAGGGGAAGAAGAAACAAAGCAAAAATTAGTTAAATATTCTGAGAAAGGTTTTGAACTAGATTTGAGTTAGTACTATTGGAGAATATTTTCTAGTTTTCCCTGTGTTAATCCTGAAACTAACATTTATAGATTCCAATTTATAAATCCAAAATACCTGAACCCTTTATAGTGACAAATAGTACTTTATATAGTAGAGTGATGCTTTCTACTGTATATATGTTTGTACCTGTTATTAGCTTTCCTGTCCTGTTTTCCTTCATGTATTCCAAAGCATTCATGTAGCCATGAGAATTTTGGGCATATATCAAGTTTACAGTCTTCAATTGCCAAAAGAATGTCATAGTCTTTCTCATGCTCCATGCATGTGTGAAAGGAGTGCATGAGCAAACATGATACCTTTACATTTGCAGTTGTCTTTTGAACAAACATAAAAATAGCTTTCACCCTCAAGGGCAGATGTTGCAGGATCCCAAGGTCCTAAAGTGCCATTCAGTATTATACAGACTTGAATTTCATTGAAAACACATTTGCAATGAAGAGTAATGGCAAAGATGCAAAGTGGACATGGTACAAACCCCACTGTGGCAGATGTTACTGAATTCTGTACTGCTGAATGCGTGTCCCACCTCCCCTTTCCTGACTGGGCCTCTCTGCCCTTGGGTTTATATTTGTAGTGCTTAGTTCCTCCATATTTCAGTCATACTCCAGATATATATCAAGCAATTGTGTGATAGTATCTCCTGCAAGCACATTTTAGTTATTAATTTTGGGAGTTTGCTTGGTTGTTTTTGTTCCCTGAAAGCTAGAATCAAACACAAGCAAGACTTATTCTGATAAATTCCAGGAAATATTTTAGGGAAGAAAGAAAACAGCAGAGCCATCTTTGCTATTGCACAGACTGTAACCATGGACCTGCGTAAACAGCTGGAGAATACTGAGAGGAACTGGAATAAAGAGAAGATGGAATTGCTGGAGAGATTTGACAACGAAAGGAAAGAATGGGAATGTCAATGGAAGGTCATGCAGAAGAAAATAGAAGAGGTACTTTGACACAAAACTCTGAACACTACCATTTCTACTTGGGGTGAAGTGACATGGAGTCGCTTCAATGACTTTTATTTATGTCTCTTATCCTTATTTCTTATGTGTCACCGAAAGTCTCTAATAGCTGATGGTGAGATGCAAAGCCTGAGGTTAAGCAGTATTTGCAATTGCTCATTTGATAGTCATGAATACAAAGTAGGAGGTTAAATGTCCCTTGAAGTGAAGCTTGCTATGAGATTGTTGGCTGTATATACTGCTGCCAGTTCTGCTGAGCATGAGCCACACTGCCTATATTATACATGCTTTTTCCAAGTATATGCTGAACAACATGGGGTTCAGGAAAATGCATATTTAGTAGCAAAAAATCTAGGTATCATAATTGTCTGGCAACAAGGAATCAGATGGCACAGGTCTGCTGGGGTAAACGGTAATATTTAAAAGAATACATACATTAAAGGCTGCACAATGTGGAACCATTCTGGCTAGAACCCACTCCATTTATGGATGGCTTTTAGGAGAGAAAACAGGTACAGTAAATAGCACGAAAGTCCTGACGCCACTAGAGTTTACACATACTAGCAAACACTCACTCCCTGCCATTTGCAATGCATCTCCTTCCAGAAACAGTTAAGGTAATTATTTATCATTCTTTTATCCCCAAGTTGTCCCTGCAGCAGAACGCCCTGGCACTCTCTAATGCATAAACTGAGTCTGCTTGGCAACATATCGAGGCAAGTTTTTTCATTAGTGAGCTTTCCACATTTTTCATCTAATTTGCACATGGAGTAGTTTTCCTTGCTCTCTGCCAGCACTGTCCTGTGGCTGAGCAACACAGGAATGTATGTCAGAGATTGCTCACATGAAAGTATGAGAAGGAAAATGGTCAGAGCCAAAGGAATTGCAGCCATACAGTGCTCATCAAACCAGCCTGAAGCATAACTCCATAATGTCAGCTCTCTTACATTTTACGTGCAGTTCTTGCAGACTTTGGTATGATGGTCTGTGCCACATTTTGTATTTTGTGTTAGGAGTGTTCTGTGCAGCCTTGCTTAATTTCACTGCCAAGGTGAGAATGCTTCGAAAGTTAGTAATGTGGTTTGCATATGTAGTTGAATTTCATTTTCATGTGGTTTGGAATGATGGTAATGAAAGGGATTCTGGCAATTAGTAGTGCTGAGAATGTCAGCGAGGATAGTTTTCCCCATGTTCTTTATTAGCACATGGATTAGAAAAGCATGACAGAGACAGAAGAAGAGATAAAGAATGGAATGAGGCCAAGGGGGAGAGGATGAAGTAAATTACTGGATACTGCAGGACCAGACAAAACTGCAGGTGATACCCTAAGGTTATTAGTATCCTAAAGTCCCTTCTTAAGCTGTGTCTATAGCTGCCCTTGATTTCAGATGCCTCACATTACTTCTCCAAAAGCCACGTGGCTGGAGAACAGGAAAGATACATGTTTTAGATGCCATCATCTGTAGGATTTCCTCAATAAAACTTGTGCTACCTTATCAGCTTGTATTTTGATTTGGTAGTTTTCTCTAGGCCACCAAAACATAACTTAATTCCTGGATTCCTCCAGGAAGACTTCTATGGTTTAGGAGACAATATAATAGAGTTATGAGGTGGTATCCTTCCTTCTTACTGCTATGCTGAATCTGTATGAGGCTCTTATTTCTTGGAAATGGCAAAGTTCAACCCTCAGTTTCCATGAGCAGCTGGGCTTTGGGAGTGAAATGTGAAAGCCCAGGATGGGGTCAAGTGTTAAGTCTCTGAACGTGAGAATACTTCTAACGCACAGCACTACCCATGAAATAGCCACATGTTCTTTGTGTTGTTATTCTTTTTCACTGGCCTTCCAAAAGCTGTTGTGATGGCCTTGTGCACTGTGAGAGGGCAGGCAGATGGCTGTTCAGAAGTGTCTGTTCTGTGCTTTCTTCATAACAGCAAGTTAAGAATGAATGTTTATAAAGACCCGTGGGATTCTTGGCACTGGAAATTATACTGCAAGCAGAAGAGATTTTTATGATGTTGCTGTTTTTTCTAATTTATAATTTGTCACTGTTCCTGGTTTGAGTGCTGAGTGACAGGAATTAACACCTTTTAATTTACTAATGAAGCCACTGGATCTAAGCAGATAGCATGAAAGAATATAAGAGGGTGACAGCACATAGCCAAATATACCATTCCGCAGTACTGATTTATCACTTCAGTCACAGGGAAGAATTCCACTTGCCTGAGAACCAGAAGTGTCTGCTCTAGTGCAGATGGCACTGTATTTGATGATAATTCACTTCCCCTCCTTCAGGTAATATACTTTAATAGGCTGTAGCACAGCTAGAACCCTCTCCCTCCCTCACATTCCCCTACATTCCCTATCCATCAGATCAGGGCTGTGTCCACCACATAATGCACTGATATTAGTTGGAAGACAACCATACCGTGTCTGCCTCAAGGCAGGGCACTCAGGGCAGAGTGACATCTCTCTCAATCCTATCCTGTGGGTAGAAGCTATACATTAAAACCATGGCAAAGAGTTTGTGGATGATACTAGCCCTCTTCCTTATCCTGTGGCAGTAATAGTGTGTGGACTATCACACTAGGTGACTCAGCACTTTTCTACTAAGACGTAAAAATTCTTTCCAGTTGGTGCTAGGGAGTGAAGCAGTGTTCAAAGCAGAAGATAAATATGTTCTTTACCATAAAGTTCATTATAATACCGTGGTTTAATAGAATATTCTGTTGTTTTTTCAGCTTTACCAGGAGGTAAAGCTTAGAAGGGAGAGCAATATGAACATCCATGACAACAAGGCCATTCAAAGCAAGATGCTGCAGCTGTCCATGCATTCCCCTACTTCAGAAGAGAGTGACACAGTGGAGCTGAGCTATCAACACAATGTGGCAAATGACAGAAAGGAGAAAGGGAGTCTGCTCAGTAAAACAGGACATGAGTGTAAAGAAACCAGACCCAAGGGCAGAAACAATACTCTGTTAATGGACAATCTGGCCTTTGAGAACCGTGAGGAGCCTGAAGACAGCCTCAGCATCCAAACTTCCAAGAAAAATGCCAAGAATTATATTGGTGATCTCAATGTAGTAAGTAAAGTATGAGCACGTTTCAGTTACAAAGTTGAGAAAAATACTAAGGACTTTGGCCTGCTGGGTTAACCTAAAGAACTGATCTTCCTGATTTTAGCTTTTCAGCAAGTTACTGTCTCTGCTTCCTCCTAGGTTTGCTATTGATGTGTCTTCTCACTGTGTAAATGTGTTAGCAGCATGCTCTTTACCTCTGTTGATAATGTGGGGGCATTTTTGTGATTTTCTTATGGTACTTTCCTCTGCTGTGAGTCTTAAATATAGATGACCACAAGTTTCAAAAAAATTCTAGAGATACCATTTAAAAAAGCTTATATTAAAGGACAGTTTTTGTATTTCTAAAGGCTCTTAAAGAACTTGCCAGAGTCAGTGAAGAATTATGCAGCTATCAAGAGGAAATTCGAAAGAAGTCCAACCACAGAAGGTAAAAAGATATTTGGACTTTTTATATTAGAGGAAGAAAATGAATAATGAGACTTTTCTCCTTATGCTGTTCACTTTGAAGGTGGGTCTGGTGTTGAATTTATTAGGAGTTGGGCAGTTCCTATCCTCCTAGTGTTTCAGTGCTCAGCATAAAACATTCAAATGAAATATACTGAAATATGATATGAGGGCAGATTTTACTAGCAGAATGGGGTTTATTTACAGAACCTAAAAATTGAAATTTGTATTTATATAGGATGAAATTGTACTTGTTTCTAATGGATTGGGAAAGTGAAGAGATATTTCTGTCTCCCTTGGTCCCATTTCCATGCAGTTCTATACAACATTATGGGTTTGTCAGGCTTATGGGAAGTCAGACCTTAAAAGTATGGCAAATAAGTATTCCACAATCTGTTAAAAATTCAATGTTCATGGTCTCCTCTAGCAAGCTAAACACCAGTCTCTCTCAAGTTGTGCAGAAATCTCAGGTGAGACCAAACCCATGGTATGACACAGTGCATATGAAAGAGATTGAGAAAGGCTGTCTCAGCTATGCTGAGACCCTGTGGAAATTTGCATCATGGCAAGCTCTGCTCAGATGCTTCCAAAGAGCAGAGGGACTTCTTACACTCCTCCATGCCATTAGTTGGTTGCCTTGTCGCTAATGTGTTGGTGTGACCAGGCTAGTGTTTGTATGAAGGCAAATAGATTCATAGCTGATGCATAGTTTCTAAATCCTGGCTGAGAAAGATGATTTCTGAAGAGACCTCAAAAGATGCATTTTTACTGTCATGTGTAAGGGTAGGAACCTATGCAAGGGAAGCATTATGTCCTAAAGCTTTCTTCATTCAGTTTATAGTCAGGTAGATGCATTGGAGTCATTAGAACTCACAAGATCCCACTATCCTTACTGTAGAATAGGTAAGAAAACAAGCAATCATCTAAAAAACTCAGAAAAGGAATTTTAGTGGCAAGGGGAAGGAATACAAATCCCTTCTGCTGAGCTTTCTTCAAACCTTTTGTGTATGTTTCAGTTACACTGAGTGTATCAGCTGCAGCAAAACTGTTCCCAAATATTTTTAAACAGACAGTGTTAAAATACCTGCTCATGTGGAGAATGAATCCATGCTGAGGTCCCCTGGAAAGATCCTTATTGCTTATCCCTAAAACACCTCTCCCTTTATTTCCAGAATGAAGTCACTTCCTTTCCTGGAGGAATTTGGGGGAACTCAAAATACAGTTATTCTGTCTGAGATGAACCATGTGTCCAGCAATGAATCACAGACCTCAGTTGCTTTTGAAACAGAGGAACATAATAATAGGAAGAATCTGATGAGCTCCACCAAGGCTTTGAAGGACATGTCTTATGGTGGTCTTACTGGTGACATAGGAACAGACTTCAGATCTTGGCAAAAGAAAGAAGCTCCACCAGTTCCTCCACGGACCACTTCTCGGCACCTAACAAACTCACTTTCTGCAGTTGTACAGCTTTCTGAAGCACCACTAAGAGATCCAGGCATTGAAAGCAATTGCAAGGCTCAAGACTGTTGGAGTGAAGGGAAACTGGGGAATACTTCATCTGTAAACAAGAATGAAATTACAGCAGCCTGTGTAAATGAAGGGCAAGCTGTGAAAATCCCTGTGATGCTAAGTGCTGCAATACCTGTAACCAAAAATGAGTGCGATGTTCCAACAAGTTTCTGCCACAACACGTGGGCATATGATGTGGGCAAACTTGGAAAAGGCACTAACAGTGAGCCTTCCCCCCTGTCAGCCCAAAAGAGTTGTTCAGACGGAAATATGGCCCAAAGCAACAAGATGCACCAGAAACAACACCCCAAGTCTCACAGCAGCCCTTATTACAGTAATGACTTCTATGCCCCTTCTACCTTCCACAATGATCTTTTGGAAGACACTAGGTATATGTTGGGAAAGACTCAAAGAAATGAAACTCTAGCAGCAAAGATCGATGAGTTTAACCGGACTGTATTTCACACAGACAAATGTAACAATGCTTTGCAGCCAAACCAGGTGCCTCGAACAGCATCAGAAGATCACAAACCCTGTAGCCCACTGTGTGACTCTGCTATTAGCAGGACAGAAATTGTAAATTCATCATGTGCTTCAAAGCCCAAACCTTCTGCAGCAAGCGAGCAAGAAACTAGCAACCCCAACAAAGCTGTCAGGACAGCAGGGCAACAAAAACAAATGAATGGACTTCCAAATCCTAGTGGTTATAGGCACATGCTTCATGAGCATGACTGGAGACCGAGTAATTTATCTGGTCGTCCACGGTCAGCTGACTCCAGGTCAAACTATGGTGTTGTTGAAAAGCTTTTGAAAAACTATGAAAAATCTACAGTGACTTCTCCATGTAGTGCAAAGTGCTGCAAAGATAAGTGGAAGCAGACAAATTCTGAATTCACTGATGGGGGTTGTGAGACACTGAGTCAGTATGTAGAAACGCTCCAGATTGAGCAAGGAAGACAAGAATTTCCGAGGAATTCAGCCAGGCATATTGGGCAGCAACTCAAGCAAGGAAGAGAGAGACAGAAGTTACCAGAGGTAAGGTTCATAACAATGTGAAGAACAAAATAATTCAGTTTCATACCAACCCTCAGATTCTAAAATGAGGCAGATTAACATGATATTGTAAATAATTATGTAATAATAGACACTTTAGGCCAAGATCTGGATGAATTAGGAGTATTTCCTCTGCAGATACAGAGCTGAGGGAGGGCAGAAGCATGTAAGAAAGAATGAGCAGTGAAGGCTTGCCAGATTTTGATCTCTACTGCTGTTCTGTAAAGCTAGTGCATAACTGCAGTGCAGTTACGCAAGGATTGAGCCAGTGAGAACTGCAGTCAGGTTTAACTCCCACTCTTAGCTGATGCTTTATTTCATGAGCCTTCCTGAAGGGCTTGAGGGCATGTAGAGAGCATTCAGCATCCAGGGTGCTACTTGGTTCAGGATTTCCTTGGAACTGTCTGTGACAAGGGGTATTGTAGCTCCATAAGGTTTCCAGTAATAAAGTGACTTCTTACTCATTTCTCAGCTCCAGCTTCTCATATATATTCAAGCATAGGCTCACAGAAAAAGAAGAGTATGACATGACTAATTAATTTATATTTGGCTGAATTTTATTTGCAGAAATTTAGAAATACTGTCTTTGCCAACATTCTTTCTTAATGACAAGAGAAACAGATGGTTTTGAAAATACACTACATGTTGCAGGTTCTATCAAAGTCCACAAAGAAAGAAAAATAATTTTTCCTGAAATGCTGCTTGGCCAGCAAACACAAAGAGATATGCCCCTTAGCATCTCAGAAAGGAGAAGGCAGGTGTGTTTTGAGCTAAGAAACTTAAATGGGTTCAGACTGTCAGCTGGTGTGCTTTAAGCTGTCACAAATTCACAGACTTCAGTGGAGCTATGTGGATTTAAGCAGCTGAGAATCTGACCATGCAGGTTTTTTCTGCATATGTTTCTGACAGCCTGTGATGCAACATCCTGCTTAGCAGAGACATCTTTACTACAGTACAGAAAGACAAAAACATGAATGAAGCTTCTGATTTCTTTTTCATCCAATAAACTTTTGACAGGAAAACAAATTTTCATCGATGAATAAGGAGGGAAGAAATAATGACTAGATAATGACTGAGTTTATATTGATGTAAGCCCAGAATAACTGTACTAAGCCAACTGGATTTTGTTTCTTCATTGGCCCACACTTTATATCGTCATTTTATCTGTACAAACTAGGTGTAGAATACCTCTTGATTAGGGGTTACCATTTTAGGTCCAACAATATTCCTGTCACAGAGATGTGAAGAACTACACAAGGCATGAGGCATTTGGTTTATTTTCATTATTTCCAGTTTATATCACTGTAGCTATAATCAAATTCTGTTGGTTTTCCTGTGTGTTTAAGGCTCTGCAGGTAGACATGACATTGTATCTACACATAACCATTCTGAATTAGTTACCAAGTGTAAACAGCTTCACACTGTACAAATGGAAACAGAGTTCTTAGCAGTATGTGACTGCTGAAATAGGATCTATCAAAAATACCTGAGAAGTATGTGGATCATACTCAGTAATATAAGATGGTATTCTGAGTTCTATGCTTAGATTAGTTCACAGCGTTCATTGACAAAAAAACTTGCAACAGTTAAAAGAAATAAGAAGTTAATGTCAATTTCGGCTTGCACTAACTTTTTATACCTTTCCTTGTGTCCAACACTTGTCTCCATATATTTTAAACCACGACTGATGTGAGAATCCCTATACATAGAAATAGCTGTTCTTTGGCATTCTGTGCATTACTGTGCTCCTTTAAATAGCTTCCAACCACCTGTTCTGAGGTCACCCCAAATGTCTTCCTGCATTCCCGCTGCATTCCACAAAAGCCGTAACTTGTTAAAGTCAGGAATTGCCTTTGTGTTCTAGATATCTGTACCAGCTAAAAGTTCAAGTGAGAAGGGTTTCTCCCGGCCCGCTCGGCCAGCAAATCGACGCTTACCTTCCAGATGGGCATCCAGATCCCCATCAGCACCTCCTGCTGTGAGAAGAACAGTGTACAACTGCTCTGTCTCCTTTCGGTCAGAGACTTCAGTAGTCTGAACCCAGAGCTGGGTTGGATGGTGTTGTGAAAGCTCTACGCCTCATTATAACTGTGTTTGGTATGTGTCATAGCAACCAGTTCTACACCATTGTATTTTGTCCAAGAGTGACTCCCACCATATGCCAGACAAAGCGTTCTGAATCTTAGGTCATCATCACCATGGTCTTCAGTGTTTTTATTGAGATGAAATAACTACACCCCTGGTTTTCTCTAGGTTGTTTTTGGTAATAGTTCACCAGGAATTTCTTTTGAACAGCATTTTCCTTAAGTCGCCAATTTTGAGTTGAAACAATGTATAGTGCTGTATATTCTGACTCTTCTGCAAACAGCAGAACGTAAAGCTGTGTGCATGATCATGTGTTTGTAGGTGCATGTGCTGGACTAGGAAGTATACAGGCCTGTATTTAGAAGAGACAAACTGTGCTAGTGTTGACATTGAAATTACAACCTATATGCCTACATATATATAATACTTTGTGTTTATTTTAAGAAGTTTGAAATATACAGTCCTGATGACATTTATATTTTGTATATCTTTTACATAGGTTCACAGGTGTAGTATTTAATGTACAAAAGCTAAATATGCATTTTTTGTGACTGATCACAGCGATAATGCCTGGCACAATATGTATCTGAAGCAGACGAGCTCGGCTGACTTGTCAGTCATGCTTCATGGCATCCTCGTTCAGTTTCCTAACTCTTATGATGCTAGGTCAAAATACCCAAACATATTTTTTCTGAATTAAAATATTATATGATTTGTAATACATTATCCTTTTTCAGCTCCAGAGACATTTCTGAAATGTTCCAATCCCTTTAAGAAGCTTAAATGTGCCATTATATATATAGCATACTGTAAACACTTCGGTAGTTTCAACTACTGTAACATACAATTTATGAAGGGAAGAAAAGGGTTGTATATGCTTAATTCTGTAAAACTTATTTTTCCTTCTAGCATTATACTTTGAGGTTTGGCAAAGTCAGATAACAATGGACTTGTTTACTTTCACTCAAGGCAGGAGAACAAGCAACATTGTTCTCAGTGCTGCAACCACACTCCTTTTTTACTCTTCTCCTAGACTAGAGTGCCTGAGCCACTTTGCTAATTTACTGCTCCCGGACTGACTCGTGGCAGTCAGTTATGAAGTTTACTTGCACTCTGACAACAAGCTGCATCTAGTACAGAAATGTTGCATCGAGGTGTGATCACAAAAATCCTAGACACGTGGTGTTGCGAGTATGTTTTTGCCATCACTTGACTTGGTACGATGGGCCATCTGAATGGTGTGCACAGAGCTTGGCTGGTTCCTTCCCACGGCGTGAAAGAAACATGGATGCTACCCAGACTCTGAACTTTCAGAAAGACAGTGTCCTTCATCCTGGAATTTTTGCACCCTTTGTTAGGCTGTTGCTGGATGCATAGTGTGGTAATGATGATAAATGTTACCTTTAAACAGCATGTCTAGGTTAAAAGGAGTAAAGAGGCACTTCTTCAACATCAGCCTGTTCTTGTCTTACAACTTTTCTTCTTCTTCTGGAGAAACATAGTGTGTTCAAGGAATTTCAGAAGTCATCATGGGATCCATTAATGTGCACATCTTACGTGAATGTAAAAAAGGATTTCAGAGAGAGTGTAGGCTTTTGTCCTAGTGAATTGTATATGTGGCAATGTAGGGGAAATTAATTGTGCTTAATTTGGTAGTGATCTGTTGTCCTACTCCAGTCATGTTGACAATTCATGCCTTTTTCCTTCCTTTTAGGATCTTTTTCTACTTTCCTCTGCACAACTTTGATTTTGAAGAGAGAGAAAACAGGAGGTCATGTATTCTGAGCAATATAGCCTGTATGGTAGTATTGGTCACTGTTCAGGCTTGCCAGTATTGGAGTGAGCAGGCATTAGAGCCAAAAATCCCACCTTATCATGCCATTGTGGCTGTCTGCGTGGTCAAAACACGCTCAGAATAATTTGCATTATCTAGACTTGTGGTCCTTTCTAGGTCTATCCCACAACAGTATATGAAGACTTCAAACAAATCAACTATTCATCAGAATTTACTCAGACATTACTGCAAAGTTATTGCTGGAAAAGATACAAGGACAGAAAGCCTTGAAGAAAATGTATACAGTTTGGATAGGTACAAAAATCTGTGTGCTCAAGTGAAAAATCAAGAATTCTATAAATTTGCCCATTTGCCCTAATTTAGAGTTTGCACTTCTTTAACTTCCTTAAAACTAGAAAAATTAGCAGTGATTCATAGTAAATTGGGAACATGGCGTAATATTCTAGCTAACTGTGGAAAATAGCAAACCAAAATACCTTGCAAATTGACCTTTTAAATGCCTAAGCAGCTGACCAGCTTTAAATGCCTATGGCTGAGGAAAGGGTAATATGTGAGCATTGTAAAAAAACATGGTTAATTTCAGTCAGTTTTGACTGCAGTAACACTTCTTTAAATTACCTTCATGGTAAATTTAAGTGGTTTTGTTCTGAAAAATTGTGCAGTTTTGTCTGAAGTATGTAACAATGAAAGCATTTCCCTTGATTAGACAGTGAAGGTGTTTCTTTAGTTCCCTTCAGTTTCTTTGGTTGCCTTTGACATAGACCACATTGTTGAATAACAGAGAAAGGATCAAATATCGACAACATTCCCTGATGTATGTAAGTCTGATGAACAGAAGGTTTTTGAAATAAACTAATAGGTCAAGGACAAGTCCATTTTGTCAACATTTTCTGTGTCCGTCTAATTACAGACTTTGGTTCTGATGCCCAAAAGTATCCAAACTGGTGATTTTGGTTTGCAGGTGGCTAGTTGGATGTACTAATTTTAGAAAATTGCTACTGTCACTGTTTAAATATTCTCTTCAACTGCCCTGTAACTGAGCCAGTGGACTGTGGTGGTTTTTTTTTTAGCTCCCAAAACTGTGAACCATAGTAATGGCTTTATTCACTTATTTGCTATAGGGGAAGGAGTTCCACTGGGCTTTCAGGTTCCCCTGTGTTATTTCTGACGAGGAAATCAACACATACACACACTTATGCAAGAAACACAAATGATCTAAATATAACTTGACCTTTCTATTAATCCTAGTGTCACCTATGGAAATGGTGAGTTTTGTACGCCTGTTTTTAAAATAGGTTTTTAATACTATTCCTTCATATGCTGTCTGAAGTCTTAATGCAGATACATGTTCTTCTTGCACTCTGAATGAGTCTAAGACTCTTTATTGCATGTTCATGGGCCTTAATAACTCCCTGCAGACACAGAATCAGCTGCCCATTGATAAGGGGATGTCACTAGTTAACAGCCGGGTGGTACTTAGCTGGCAGAAAGCATCATTATCCCTCATGCTGCAAGATGGAGCCATAATCTTTCTGTGAGACCCTTTAGGGAGGGGCATGGCAGGGTAGAAGCACATAGAGGAGTCATTTAGACCTTAACTGCATATGCAACAGAACAGACCACCTGGAGGCTGGAAAACTATCCTGACTCAGAGTCTCTCCAGAGGCAGAAGTACAGGAAAAAAATTTCCTTTAAAGCCTCTGGATATCATTCCTCAAACTCAGAGTACATGTCCACTAAATGTTTTGTCTTGACAGTGTTAGTGGTAGACTTCTTATGTACCTTTAAAATGTTGCTAAAGGGATGAACTTTGCTTGTTCTCCAGCAGCAACACAAATTATCTTTCATTATTGCACACACTGTAAAGGAGTTGGCTGTTACATATAGCAAAGAATTGGCAATTGTAATATAGTTTTCCAGAGCATTCAGAACACCAATTTATTTCTCCAGTTGTCTACTTAAAATATGTTTCTTTAAATGGGATTTTGTATCCAAATGGCTTCAACAGCATTTTAGCAAAGATCTACAGCAACCTAGCAGGCAGGTCATTTCCCTTACAGTTTTGTTATTTCTGGACCAAGCTGAAATTTCCTAGCATGCAAGAACTTATGCAATTCTCACAGTGCTGCTATGCAAAGAATTTCTTTGGCTTTGAGATCTGTAATATGCAACTCTAGCCATTATACTGCTGATACTCTCTATTGGACTCGTGTAATTGTGTCTTTGGTTGTGTACATGCTCTTTGAACTGGGAGGTAGAATGCATTTGCTCCAAATGAACTAAAGCAAAGCCCCTTGCTGCCTCTGGCCTTTCCACCCCTCCTTGATTCCCAGTGGATGTGTATTTTTACATGGTTTATTGCCCTTGGTCTGTATGTATATGCCATACCATAGGACTTTTTTATCTGTACCACAGTCAAAATATTTTTTGGACAACCTGTTCTAAAAAGTGCTGATATTACTATTGCCATTCACAAATATATTAGATCTTGATCTATTGTTTTGCATCACTGAACATGCACTTTTCTTCATCAACTCTTGGTAGCACACATTATACAAAACTTGTGGGTTTGTTTTTTTGAAACAATAATGAATCTGATTTTGGGGTTTGGTTCTACCTCTCCTCCTCACACCTCTTTTGTTTTGCAAAGTACTTGCATTGGCAGAGATGTGTTTCTGATGTGTACAGTTGATCTAGTTGCTGTGTGGCTGTGGGAGCTCATACCTAAGGGTGCCTTGCTAACTATGTTACTCTAAAAAATTTGTATCAGAATTTCCATGGGGTAAGTGAGATTGAACCTTCAATATGATCAAAGTGAAAGTGTACAAATAAAAACCAGAAAGAAAACAGAAGAATCAAAGAGGTGGGTACAACTCTTGCAGTAAATGTTGTGGCTAGTTCTTTGTTTCTAAGGGGAGATCCCTCTGTGCTGCCTACTTCATACCACCTGAAACTTTCAGTAAAGTACTGTCTTTTTTCAGTTAGCATCTTTTTATGTACACTTTTCCTACTCCGTAAGCCTGTAATAGCAAGAGGTGTTGAAAGGCTGATGTTAGTAATGTCAGCAGATAAACTCCAGTCCTTCCCTTTCCCATAGCTCGTGGTATGTTGGTTATCGAAGAATGCTTAAATTTCAGTTGTTAATCCACTCTGTGTCAGCAGTCGGTTTTACCAGGGAGTGCATGATGGTGCTCACAGCATGAACGTTATAGATTGCACAACAGTGTGTGTCTTCCACCCACACTGGTTTCACAGCACTGCACAAGGGCACATAGTGTCACACTGGTGAAGTGGGGAGATTCCTAGAAGATAAATGTGAACCAACCTCGTGCTTGAGTACAAAAGCCAGGCTGCACCTCAACTCTACTCATTGTGCCAGGCATCCTGACCAGAGCACAAGCAAGTTCAGTCCTCGGTACAGAATGATTTTTACCATGCAAGGACAAAAATACCATCTTATTGTCTGTTCTGGAGGGATGGGTGGGTTTTACCACACTGACAGTTACAGTATTAGACTTTTGAGCAGAGGAATGCCCTTCTTCAGGGACAGCAAGGGAACAAAAAAGTAGAACCTGTTTGTGGATGGGGCATCTTCTGAATTTGGATCAGATCCATTTCTTGG